AGCAGACACATTCTATAATGATGGTAGGAAACATAAAAAGAAGAGTTTGAGAGACAAATTTATGTTAATTTCAGTTTTGGATGCACTGAATTTGTAGAATGCATGGAACATACAATTGGGTACAAAAGAAAAATGGGGAAAAAAAAGTGGGAGAGAGAGAGAGATTGGGCATACAGTGTTATGTTTGACACTGAGTTGGTTTGCTGGAAACATTGGAAAGAAAGGAGAAATAAAAGGAGAAACGTGAATTTGGGAGGAAATTCCTGTGTTTAAAGTAAGACTGAAGGGAGGGGGGCACAGGCCCAGCTTCTGGAATTGGTACCATTGTTATGGTTGCTATTTATTTCAAAACATATTTAAGGTATACATTTTGAGGTTTTCAAATGTTTTATACCTATTTTTCCACTTGGTTGTTGTTCACAATTATGTTTCTTGGGGTGATTGCATCTATATTATAAGTGGAAACACTAACTTAAAGATAGATTTTTGCCTCTCTTATTACACTGTAAGCTGATGGTTAGGACAGGTCATTTATTTGAAAGAAGACTGGAAAGTAAAAAACCAGAGAGTATTCAAATTAGTCTACAATTTAATTTTTCCTGTTTTAGGAGAGCAAGATTTTAGTTACCATTGCACTTGTTAGTTTGAAAATATTTAAGCCATTCCCATACAGAACATTTTAAACATCCCAAACTTTCCTTTATTTATTCTTTTTCCTTTTCTAATGTTTTTTAGCCTCTCTTTTTGATTTAATGTTAAAAAATTATTGACAAAAGTTTACATAATTAAATTGTAAATATTATAAATACTGTTCAAGTCAAAGCATTTTAAGAAATGTATTCATAAAATAGATTTATAATCTTACTTGAGAGTAAATGTGTCATTGTATAATATTTAGCTGCATTCTCAAAAGTAAGTGTTTTATCTAATATTGTTCTTATAATGAATATATATATAGTACATCACATATTACAAACAAGTTGTAGTTTTTAAATTATTTTTCCTTTAGCCTTTTTCTTTATTTAGGAAAAGCTGTTTTTCTGTGCCTTTCAGAAAGTGCAGGTATTTAATTAAATGTAGATTGTATGGTACATTAGTGACCATCAAACATTATGTCTTTCAGCAGGCAATTAAAAAGGGAAAAATATTCTAAATGAATTTTTAAATACCTTCTTCCAATCATTAAACACTGTTACTATGGCCATATTTTGTAAGTGTAAAACACTGGAGTTCTTACAAGCATGCTCGTCACAGTCATTTTTATTGATGATCTATCTGAGCTTCATTTCCTAGCTGAGAAACCTTGTCGGTCAATTTATTCCAACATTACACCATTTGGTTGAGTGGTTATTAATCCTGTAATTGTTCACGGCATGCCAGGAATAATTCAGTTAATTATTACAATATGTCTTACTTTGCTATGCTTCCCCCTGTCAAAATACCTTTTGCATATATTGGAGGAAAAATCAGATGCTTGTTTCAATTCTAGACATAAAAATCAATTAATAGCTAAAAATATAAAAGACAGACACTTCTGTTTGCCCCACATAAGATATCTGCTGACCTAAATGCAGTTTGATGAATTATAGTCTCCAAGTTTTAATTGATCCATCACCTCTACTTTCTGAAAGAATCATCTTAACTGAATATTAGTTTCAATTAAGTTCCATAGTGTAACAGTTCACCCTCGGTCATACTAAAAAGAATTTCATTTTTTCCAATCCAGTATATGGTGACAGTGCTAATGTCCATGGTCCCATTACAGTCATGAAATTAAATATTTTGTATTTAGGTAAAAAGCTATGATGTATATAATAACTTTTAGATACATAATTAAATTTGGTTTAAGGTATTTGTGATTGGATATGCCACATTGGGTTCTGGAATGTTAAAACCTGTCAAAAACATAATAATATATGGATTATTAAATTCTAATACAATAGGTTATTTTGAGTCACTATAGAAATGGAAACTGCAATACTCATTATGCAACACTGCATTGCATTAAATCCAGTTCCGCCGAAGCTCTTCATAGAGAATGGAGTAACCATTCCATTACAGTTAGCTTCTTTAACTAGCTTCTAATTTATAGGAAGGAAATGACCAAGTATTTCTTAAACAAACTAATACCCTTCAGTCAGATCAAAGGAAAAATAGTATTCATTGACATTCCTGAAAGGCCTCTGAGGTAAATTGAAGGTAAACATGTTTCATCACGTGATGGTGATGGAAAAGTGTGGAAGCAAAAGAGATGTCCTGTTTCATGTGGGAAAATTCCCAATGAAATTATGGGATTATCTGAGGATCACTTATTTGGTGTCTGTTTGATGCTACATTACTGTACATTGGTTTTTGAATTTAGGCAATCCTGTAAATCTTAACTATAAGAGGGCATTTCAGTGTTTACTTTGTGGGTTAAAGATGAGATCAAGTAGTATATGAGAACAATTTTTTTAAAAAACAGTTAAAACACTGTATGTACATAAAGGATAATATTATTAGTTTATACCTATTTAGAATTATAAACTACCATTACCATATATTTGCAATTAGCTGATCTGTTAAAAGGCAGAGTTATGGAGGGGAGAGAGAGAGAAAGAGAGAGAGAGAGATCTCTTCCATCTGCTGGTTCACGCCTCAAATGCCTGCAATAACTAGGGCTGAGTCAGGCCACAGTAGGGAGCCAGGAAATCCATCCTGGTTTCCTTGTGGGAGGTGGAGTCCAAGTACATGGGCCACCATCTGCTGCTTCCCAGGCGCATTAGCAGGGAGCTGGATCAGAAACAGTAGTTGGGACTTGAGCTGACAATCTGACATGAAATGCAGGAGTCTCTGGCAGCAACTTAACCCCCTATGCCACAGTATCCACCTCTAATAGTTTTATCATCTTTTGATTTTTTTTCTGAACTACTTCATAGATTAATATATTTTAGTATATTGTTGATATAAATGAATGTGATACAATACACAATATATTTGGGCTTTGTCAGCCCTTCTTGGCATAGTTTCTAAACTTTTGGTATTTTTTTTTTTTTTTGACAGGCAGAGTTAGATAATGAGAGAGAGAGAGACAGAGAGAAAGGTCTTCGTTTTCCGTTGGTTCAGCCCCTAAATGACTGCTAAGGCCTGCACGCAGTGCTAATCTGAAGCCAGGAGCCAGGTGCTTCCTCCTGGTCTCCCATGCGGGTACAGGGCCCAAGCACTTGGGCCCTCCTCCACTGCTGTCCTGGACCACAGGAGAGAGCTGGACTGGAAGAGGAGCAACGGGGACAGAATCCGGCGCCCCAACCAGGACTAGAACCCTCGGTACAGGTGCCGCAGGCTGAGGATTAGCCTGGTGAGCCGCAGCGCAGGCCAAACTCTTGGTATTTTCTGAGGGCATCTTTGCTATGCTGATGAGGTACTTCCTGGAGCATTCCCTAGTAGCTTGGCAATGGAGGGCTGGTCATCAGAAAGACCATCATTGTGATTACGTGGTTGGAACTTTGTTCTAGAATTCAGTCATGTGGCCAGTGATTGGATTAGTCGAGCCTGCCTAGTGAAATCCAAAGAAAACTCCAGATGTAGAGGTACAGGGGAGTGTACTTGTTGGCAAACCCACTCCCATGACTTCTTGGGAAGATAGCATGGGAGCTCTGAGTTTGGGACTCTCCAGTTCTTCCTGTGTCTTTTCCTCATTCTGGTAACATACTTGATAATAAAACTATACCATAAGCATAGTACCTGAAATTGTGTGAATTATTAAACTCAAGAGAAAACCCTGAATGTATAGCTGGCCAGGCTTTAGTGTGGATGGGCCTTGAGACTTGTGCTTGGCATTTAAGGTGAGAGAAGTTCTGTGGGAGACTGAGGCCTTAAACCTGTGGATTCTGACACAGGGTATTAGTACCAGGATTATATTATAGTATACCTGCTTGGAATAGGAATAGAACATTAGTGATATGGAAAAGAAACAGCCCATTTCCTGTAAATATGAAAATGTGATTGTAAACTAAAATAGGGAAATAAAATTCATAAGACCATTGAAGATAACATTTTAATATTTGAAATAATCTAAACTCCAAGTTGTACAATCTACATTGATTTTTTAAAATGTCAGTTGAAGCCACTTAATTGGATATTCTTAAGTTTGTAAATGCAGATATAATTTTAGTTGACTATTTTTATCTTTTCAAAGTTTTTATGCCTTTGAGACAGGGAGAGAGACAGAGGTGGAGGGAGGAAAGGAGGGAGAGAGGGAGGGAGGGAGGGAGGGAGATTCCACCTGCTGGTTCACTCCCTAAATGCCTGTAATGCCTGTGTTTTGGAACAGAATCCAGGTCTCTCATGTGGGTGTCAGGAGCCCAATTACTTGAGCTATCACTATTGTCTCCCAGGGTCTACCTTAGCAGGAAACAGGAAGCAGGAGCTAACCCAGGTGCTCCAATATGGGACATAGACATACTAACTGGTATCTTAATCACTAAGTCAAATACCTGCTCCAACTCACTGACTTTACTAAATCTATGTGTCAGAATTGTAAAGGGAAATGTGGTAGAATAGTAAAAATCTAGGAATACTATAAGAATAGCTTTAAAATACCACAAGCATTCTTTTAAATGCAGGCTGAAATTTAAATAAAACAAACATTTCCAAGTCAAAAAAAGAAACACCCTGTTGATATCCTATTGGAGGAAGGGGTGAGAATGTGGGAGGAGGTTGGTTTAGGTACTGTGTGTGCTGAGGTTTTAATGCCCACAGAGAGCCAAGGGGAAAGGTGTGGAGACCGTATATTTAAGAGTTGGAAATGAGGCAACTCTGCTTAAAATTGGATCCTCTGAAAGACTTCGTGCTCATCTAGCATCTGTACTAGAAAGAAAAAAGTGCCACTTATTTTGGTAGGCTGATAGACTTTGTAATCTGTCATCTCACTGAATATATGAACATATATTAATGGATTTACAAAATTATTATGTGAACTCTGAGGTCAAAAATTAAGATTGCCAAGAATGAACAGAACTGTGGAGTTGGCTTTGTTCTTGAAAATATTTTCCTCATAAGGTGGAAAATGGCGTGGAACACTCTTAGCCATGATTCTCCGGTACACAGGTGATTATGAGTCAGCCTTGGCACTGCGGAACTCCACTTCAGGAATGGAACCTGGTTTGAACTTTGGTGCTGGGAAGAGAGGAGAGAAATTTTCCCTGAAAATCTGTATCTCAAAACTGGATCTCAGGTGGGTTTGCAACTGAAATCAATACCAAGTGTCAAGTTTAATAAACTCAAGACAGATAACTGCCAGATGAAGACAAATGAACAAAGAAAACCCCAAAATTAAGCAAAAACAACAACAAAAATTTTTTTGGGACCAGCATTGTGGCACAGCAGGTCAAGCCGCTGCTTGAAATGCTTGCATTCATTATCAGGGTATCGGTTCCAGTCCTGGCTACTCAACTATACATCTGTATTCCTGTTAATAGACCTGGTAAAGCAGTAGATGATGGCCCAAGTAGTGTACCCCTGTTACCCTTGTAGTACACCAGTATGGAGTTCCTGGCTCTTGATTTCAGCCTAGCCCAAACCTGGTTGTTGTGGACATTTGTGGAGTAAACGATGAGATGTAAGCGCTCTCTCTCTCTCTCTCTCTCTCGTCTTTCCCTCTCTCTTTGTCACTCTGCTTTGCTAATAAATAAATCTTAGAATAAAATATCTGATGAAATTAACATTTCATCTCTGGACCCCAGTGGTTTTCATGTGTAAAGTTTAAGCCATATAAAACTTCAAAGTGAATAATTGTAAAACATTCAAGGGAATAGTCATTGTGGCATAAAAATATTTTTCCATAGAAAATTAGAATGTTAAAACAAAATCCTCCAAAATGAAAAAACAAAGATAGAAAAGAAAATCTGACCACCAACTCAGGAGAGGCCAAGTACGTTTGCAATCTCTCTCTTAGGTCTAAGTAATTCCCCTAGAATTAATAACTTTGGGAATGTATTTTGTATCATATAAAATTTATATTTTTTAAAGATTTTTATTTGAGAGATATAGTTACAGAGAAAGGGAGAGACGAAGAGAGCAGTCTTCCATCTGCTGATTCACTTCCCAAATGGCCACCAAGGACAGAGCTGGGCTGATTTGGAGCCAGGAGCCAGGAGCCTCGTCTTGGTCTTCCACTCAGGTGCAGGGGCCCAAGTGCTTGGGCCATCTTCTACTGCTTTCCTACGGCGTAACAGAAAGCTGGATCAGAAGAGGAGCAGTTGGGACTAGAACAAGCGCCCACATGGGATGCAGACAGATGCTTAGCCCACTACACCACAGTGCCAGCTGCAAGATTTATATTTACATGATTTATATAATACAGCAATCTTGTAAACAGGTATTTTTGTAAAGTTGGACGTCAGCTGTGGTATCCCTGTGGGAACTAGTTGACGCCAAAGCAAAAATGTCTCTGCATGCACAAGACCTCAAGTCAGGCTGCACAGTTTTTATATTCAGAACTGATGGATTCACAGTCACAAATCACAAATTCACGAGAAAGATACACACCAAGTAAGAGCTGAAGCATCAAACTGCAGGAAGAGACCACACAAAACTTTATATTTGAGACATCTAAAACAATATATGAAAAATGATTGAATCCTGGTGAATGACTCTAGTAAGTTGGTAAACTTGGAAGCTTCAGATTTCATTCTGTTTTACATAGACATGAGATTAGCAAAAATTAACGCTTGCAGAAAGCCTTTATGGGAACTCTAGAAAGAAGGAACAGCAATACTGAAACATGTTAAGAAAACTGTTTCATTTCATTCACATCAGTCCCTCCAGCAACCAGGTATAGTTTGCTACAACTGGGAGAAAAACCCCAACTTGCAACGTGTCCCTTGGGAGGTAAAAAAAGAAGTATGAAGCATATGCTCAATGTTCCAACTTCTTGGTGGGCTGCCTGAGAGGCTGGCTTCTGTGTTGGCAGAAATGGAATACTGACAAGGACCCAGCATGATTTGAATACCTGGAGCTATGGAGAAGAACAAAAGCCAGTCTGGCAGATAATTGCAGTGCTAGAGAACTGGCAATATTGGGGACAGAAGCTGTCAATGATCAGTGTGACTGGGGATATATACCCAGCTTGTGAGTTATCCCTTAAGAGGAAAAGAGAAAAGCAGTTTATATATATAGTCCTCTGCTTTTTTGTTGAAGATCCTCAGTTTCTCCTGCCTGATTGGAAGGTTGATTCAATTAGCATCTTTTGGATGCCCAGGAGCTGCCAAAAACCGAACAGAACCCAGTGGTTTAGGGTAACTTCAAAAAGCTTGGAGTACCACAGGCAACAAGAAGAGGAACAGCCACAAGCTTCTGAAAAAAATTTAGTGAATTTCTGCAATTGGTACATTACTACATGCAGAAACCCAAGTAAGTAGCATCCCCGTAAAAGATCTAAAAGATCACAGACCCTGTAGCCAGGCCGATTGTGAAGATCATTCTAAGACGCTAGTGAAGACTTGAGGAGGTGATCATTTCCTCAGATAGAGAAATCGCAACAACAACCACATTAGTAAGGCACACAAATAAACAGGAGACCTTGGCCTCTCACTCTCAACAAAGAAAAACCAAAACTAAATTATAAGGAAGCAATAACTACAAGAACCACATCATCACTGTCACTACTTCTGCTCAGTATATTAACAGAAGTTTTATTGACAGCAATAAAAATAGTCACCTAAATTGGAGAGGAAAAAGTAAAATGATCTGTTTGCAGATTAGACAAAGCTGTTTATATTTAAAGACATCTAGCAATGTTGCAAAACAGAAAATCAACATCCAAAAATCACTTGTGCTTGATATACTAAAAATGAACAGTATGTAAAGGAAGTTAAGAAAGCATTCCCATTTTCAATTGACATAGTATAAAAAAGAAGAAAGTATATGGAAATACCTAAATCCAGCAGGTGAAAAATTTCTACACTGAAATCTAAAACATTCCTAAAAGAAATCAAAGACAGTATAATTAAATGAAAAGAAATACCATGTTCATGTATTGGAAGATATAATACGGTTGAAATGTTCATTCTGCCCAAAGCAATCTGCAGATTCAATGCAATCAAAATCCTAATGATATTTTTGCAGAAATTGGAAGAACATCTCAAAATTCATATGGAATGTCATAGGATCACATGTAGCCAAAATGATCTTAAGAAAGAGAAACAATACTGGAGCCTTCATACATTCTGGTTTCAAAACATATTACAAAACCAGTGTAATCAAACAGCCTGATATTGGCATAAAGGCAGAGATATGTAGATCAATTGAACAGAATTGAGGCCAGAATTAAAACCTCATGTATACAATAAAATGATCTTTGATAAGGGAGCCAGGACTACAAAATTGGTTAAAGATAATTTCTTCAATAAATGGTGTTGGGATAACTGGAGATCCACAGGCTCAAGAATGAAATTGGACTCTATTTCATATCACATGAAAAATTTAACTCCATAAGGACTGAAGCACTGATTGTAAGATCTGAAATTGTAGTACTCCTAGAAGAAAACATAAGGGGTAATGTGTATGATATTGGATTTGGCGATGATGTTGGATAAGACACCAAAGCACATGTGAAAATAAAAAACAAACAAATGACAAACTTAAAAACCTCTTTGCAATAAATAAACATTAATGAACTCTGTGCAGCCAAGGAATACTTGGTGCAACCACAGAGTTGGATAAAACATTTACAAAATATCTATTTGATAAAGTTCTTTGTTGTTGTTTTAAAGATTTATTTATTTGAAAGGCAGAGTTACAGAGAGGCAGAGACATAGAGACAGAGAGATTGTCTACCTGCTGGTTCACTCACAAAATGGCAGCAATGGCTGGAGCTGTTTCTATCCGAAGCCAGGATCCAGAAGCTTCTTCTGGGTCTCCCATGTGGATGGAAGGGCACAAGGACTTAGCCATCTTCCACTGTTTTCCCAGCCCATTTACAGGGAGCTGTATCGGAAGTGGAGCAGATAGGACTCAAACAGGCTCCTGTTTGAATACTACAGATGGAGGCTTTACCCACTATGCCACAATGCCCTGATTAAAAATTAATATTCAGAAAATATAGTCTTTTCATCTCCATCACTATCAGATTGCAACCAAAAAAATATCGAATTAAACTGGCCAAAGAAATTGAATAGGCATTTTGATAAGTATATGAAATGATTGTCTAAGTTACTATTTATTCAGAAAATCAAAATCAACACCACAATGAAATATCACCTTACCCATTAAAATCTGAGGTAAATATTGTAAGAATGATTGCATTTTAATAAAAAATGAAAATTTCGGGAGCTGGCAAGATGTAGAGCAGTTGGAAGCCTGCTATGCTATTTGTGATATAAAAGTTATTTGTAAAATTGTGCAGTTCCGGAAAACAATATGGAAGTTCAAAAAACCAAAAAAAGAATTGTCACATGAACCAGCAATCTCACTTCTCCATATATATTCTAAACGATTTGAAAACTACATCACAAAGAGAAATCTACTCACACATGTTTATTATGGGTTTGTTCACTGTGGTAAGAAATAGAAGCGATCTGAATACCAGCAACAGGAAAATGAA